TGTGGTCTCTTATGCTCCCACCACCCCCCGCAAGCCTGCTGTGGGCACATGGAAGGCTTTGATAAATGTGGTGAGCCACTCTCAGCGCTAAAGGCAGGGGGACTCGCTCAACTCAGAAATGGCTGGAGCTGCCCTGGGAAGCTCATGCTCAGCCTCAGTGCAGACTCGGCTCTCATTGCGGTCCGCCACCCGGATGTCCCTTGACCAGCCCGGACTCTCACCTTCCGTCCTAGACCAGCACTGGATCAAGCGATCTCTAATGTAACGATTTGCTAGAGTACAGAGTGGTTTACAGTTAGAAAGTATCTTGCCAAGCATGATCTCACCTCGAGCTACCCAGCTCCATCTGCCCTTCCTCTTCTTTTACCCTTCTTTACATCCTAATTTTTTTTATTGTAAGTATCACTCTTACACAAACAGGAGAGGTAATAATTTGTGCACTTTAAAGAACAGGAAGCAAACACCCTTGTATGCACTCCTCAGCTCACAACAAGCAAGACCAGGACCTCAGATGCCCCTTCCAGAAGCTCTCCCCTCCCTGACAAGGTAACTCCTCTCCTGAAGTATGGACTCGACGTGGCTTTTTTCCTTTTTCGACACATACATGTTTCTCTGAAAACATGTTTTTTGGTTCTGCCATTTTTATCTTTATATGTGGAATCATATAAAAATGTATATGTATTTATTCTCCTATGACTTGTTTTTCCACCCAACTTTGAGAATCGTCCGGTGTAATACACAGACACAGGTAGACACTTGTTGATTTCACTGCTGTACAGTCTTCTACTATAGGACAGGAATGCCGTTTATTTATCCATTCTCCTGGTGGGCACTTGGCCTGTTTAGTTCTGCTCAGGTGCATCTCCGGGTGTCCAAGTGCAACAGGGTGCATGTCCAGGGGTGGGGACACCAGAGCACAGGTGGGTGCATCTTTAGCTTTACAAGGTAATACTCAACTGATACCAAAGTGGTTGTACTGGTTTACACTCCCACCAGGGTGGAAGAGAGGACCCTGTGTGCCACATCCAAACCTCTGAGCTCTAAACCTATTTTATCTGTATATTATTATGTTTTCCCTTATCCCTTAGCCATTTCTCAAAGCAACTAGCCCACATGCCCCACACATGCACCCATCTACTCTGTTGTGGTCACTGTGTTTTAAGGTTGTGCACATACATGGAAATTATGTGATGTTGTCTGGGAAGTGTACGTGTTCTCATGAATGTGAAAAGCATTATGCCATAGAGCGCACTGTTTTAGATTATTTTCACTTGACTTAATATTTTGTAAGACATACCCATGCTGCTCCATCTGTATTAGCAACACTAGTAAACACTGTATCTTTAAGATGGATGTTACCCCCACTTACAGACTACCACAGGAACAGCTCACGACAAGACAGCACTCAGTGGGGTTTTGGTGTGTTACACGTGATAACTCACTGAATCCTCACGCTGACCCCACAAAATAGATGCCTGCATTTCAGACAAGAGGAAAACCAGGCACAGAGATTAAGGAACCTGTCCAAAGTTAGTAAATGATGAAACAGGATTTGAATCAAGTCTTTTTTTTTTTTTTTTTTGAATCAAGTCTTAAGACGCCAAAGCCCTCACTCTGATCCACGGCATGAACCTAGCTAGGATGTATGACTCAGAAGGTTTTGTAACCAGCAACTCCAGATTACACAGCTGGTGAACCCGTGAGTGAAACTCACATCCACGCTGTTCCCCTCGGTCCTGTCCTCGCTTGGTCAGCTGCCAAACATACAGCCTTCTATGTGAATGGCAAAGGGAACAATTGGAAAATGTGCCAACCAGGGGTCTCTTTAAAGCTGTAAACTTGACTAATACATTAACCCTCTTCATCAAATGTTAGTAAATGAAAATATTAAAAAGATGGAACTCTTGAGAGGACACGCAATAGCGGAAATTGAAAATTCCTTTATCAGAATGAGAATTAATGACCAAAAGCTTGAATCCTAACAAAATGAATCTGCAAGTCCTTTTCCCTGCAGGGGATGATAGCATGGGTCCATCTTTGGCAGCGATGGACTCTACCCCCCTGCAGAGCAGAAGCATGGCCACACAAACCCACCATGCTAACATCATACTTCTGGAACATGTAAGTATAATTTCTATTATAAGAAAGGAGGTGGAAGGGCCAGCCAAGAAAGACAAAATGTGCTGAGTGGGGCGCCTGGGTGGCTCAGTCATTAAGCGTCTGCCTTCGGCTCAGGTCATGATCCCAGGGTCCTGGGATCAAGCCCCATGTCGGGCTCCCTGCTTCCCCCTCTCCCACTCCCCCTGCTTGTGTTCCTTCTCTCGCTGTGTCTCTCTCTGTCAAATAAATAAATCTTTAAAAATAAATAAATAAACAAAATGTGCTGAGTGACTTAGTATTATCACCAACAGAGAATAAGCTAAAGTCTTTTCTAAAGTCCTGCTCATTTTCTTTGTTACACTATTTAAATCAAGAATGTTTTCTATTTCACAGTTACTTACCATCCCTCCCTTTTATTATTATTTCTAGCTCCTTAAACATATAAAATGGTAAAAGCAATTTGTTCTGGCAGAAAAGAACTATAGTAAATCATGCAGAATAAATTTCTTAAACACCAAAGAAACACTGCTTCCCTCCAGATCAGTCTATGGACACACATGTGAAGGACACATAAAAGTCTGCCTCCCTGCCACCTGCCATGTGAAGTCACTTCTGTGGAGAATTCATGTCCTTTTCAGATGAAAAAAATGTTCAGTAACAATGCACCAAAGACAAAATCTTCCACTATTTACATTAACACATCCAGAGGAACCATCCATATGCCATTTATAAGAACTTCCCCTCGCAGAAATAAAAGATGCGCTCAGCTCCGGACCAGAAACTTCTCAACACATAAAATTTTACTGAATAAATTTCCCAAATCAGGTATTTTAAGGAAATGGTGGAAGGCCATCTATTTTTCTAACTTTGTTGTCAAGGACACCAATTTCATTACAAAAAAAAAAAAAAGGAAGTCCAAGAATAATTATTCAAATTACAACAGGTGGAATTTGACAGATTTACAAAGGAGACAAATGTCTCTAATATAATTCTCTCCAACTTGGAGTCAACATCAGCTGTTAGTACCTGCAGCTTCAAATTGTCAGTTCATTTTCAAAACACAAAGAAGCCATTTGAGTTGAGATTTACTTTTAAAAAACTTCCTGGGTTACCATTTCTCTTCATCCTTCACTTACATTTATGGTAACGACTACGATGATAACATTGATATATGAGAGCTGAAAATACAGCTCAGTCCTGAGATCAAATAGGGACATTGCCACTAAACACATTTTCAGAGATCATGTTTCTCAGGCTTATCGAAGACTTTTGGCCCTTAATGACTTAACTTTTACAAATCTGCAACAATTTCTTGCTTACTTCATCTTTTCCTTCTGGTTAGCTAGGAATAAAATGCCAGTCGAAATGAATTTTGGTTGTTGACCTTCATACCCTGAAGTGTAGAAGATACTTCTTGTATCACCTTCTCTGTGAGCTTGTATTTGCATCCCGCAGCTTCATAGTCAACAGAGAAGAAAAAGAAAAATGTCTTCCCCACCCTCATCCCTGTGTGATGTGGACACACTTGCCAAATATGCCTCAGGTAGAGTAACCCTATCACACTCTCAAGAGATTTCCCACTTGCATTTTGTGGACAGAACTGTCCCGCCCCAGTGAAATATCACACAGAAATCACATTGTAGTGTCCTCCAGAAAGACCTGCTCCTCCCCATCTCTGAATGAAATCCAGAACCCTCAACACTCCCTGGGTCACCCCTCTTTCTTAAGGAATGCACTGAACTCATTACCTCTAAACCCATTTTTAAGTGTGTACAAATGTGAATTCCACATGGTACGTAACACTCCCCAATGTATTGCTTTTAAAATGCATGTGGGCAGGTGTATGTGAGTGAGCGTGTGTGATAGGAGAGGGCATTTTATATTTTGGCCAAAAAAAAATCATATCATATCATTTTTATAAAATTATATTTAGCCTTGCAATTATAAGCCACAGTCCATTTTTAATAAATGTTTTAGGCCAAGAACAGAGATTAGTAAAACCTACCAGGCCACTTAGGGAAAATGAATTTATATGGGGAACGTGAGGAACTGGCAAAGTGGTGAATGACTTGGGCCGGTATAGACAGATGAACTAACTAGTAGAGGTGTAGACAGCCTATCTAGTGTAGACAGCCTATCCGGGTAATGTAGCTCAAGCCCCAGTGCTTCCTATAACTTGGATCTGGGTCAGGTTATTAAAACCATCACTTCACTTCCTCCCGCGGCTATACCCGTGGGTACTGGAGTGTTGGCACAAACAGGCCAGCTTCCTCTCAGGGCCTTTGGGTGGCTCAAGTCTCACCTCCTCGGTGCCTCCCCTCCAGAGGCCCCGGGAGGCACCCTGGGGGGACAGGTGTGTGGGACAGCTGCTGAGATGCAGGTGTGCCCAGGGGAAACCACCTCTGAACTCGGGAAGTTCAAGCGCTCAGCCTCAGGTAACCCCAGGCAAGCGTCAAGGGGGTGGAATTCAAGCAGAAGCTGGAAGAATCTGAATGGGGTCAGCGATCCTCTGTGAAAGGCCAGGCAGTAGGCATTTTCAGCTTTGCCGGCCACAGGGTCTTGGTCACAAGCACTCACCTCTGCCATCAGGACACAAAAGCCGCCACAGATGGTGTGGAAGTGAGGGAGCGTGGCTATGTCCCACCACAACTTTCTTTATGGACAATGAAATCTAAATTTCGTATCATTTACATGTGTTATGAAATATTATTTTTCTGATTTTTTTTCAACCATGCAATATTGCGAAAACCATTGTCTTAGCTCATGGCAATCTAAAAACAGGTGGCGGGCCGGAAGTGGCCCGCGGCTGAGGGTGGCTGCCCCTGCAGTCACTGATCTGTGGGCAGGCAGCCCCGAAAACGCAGCCAAGGAGGAAGCTGCCCGGCCAAGGTGACACCTACCTTGATATGAGCTGCTGGGTCTGGGACAGTCTGAACCATGTCCTTCAGCAGATCAGCCCAGTCACCGTCTGCTCAGAACCGGAGACAGCTGGGAGACAAAAGGGGGCAATCAACAACCACATTTCTGAGTTTTGCTTTCCATTAGGATCCAATGCAACACACCGAGGAGAAAAGAATGACAGCAAAAACCCGTTTGCCCACAAGCACCTTTTAGGCAAGCAAATGAAGTGACGAGAAGAGCCCCGTGTCTTCTGTTGGGAATGTCACCTACTTAGAGCCCCCATCAAACACCGGCCTGACAAACCCAAACAAACCTACTTCACGGGCAGCTCACACACATCATTTTACATGGGCAGCGTCTGTGAGTGATCATTTCAAGGAAGAAATGATACCAAAAATGAGACATTTTCTAGGATCTTGAGAGAACTGGCTTCTGAATTCCCACCAAAACCAATGCCATTCACACATCCTTTTAAGCTTCATGATTAAGCTCTTCATACAAAGCACAGCTGCCATTCATGGCGCCCCTAAATGGCAGTCCCTGGACCAAGGGCTCTGCAGGCATGTTCTCATTTAATCCTGACCACCACTGAGAGTCAGCATCCCATTGTCCAGTCGGGGACATGGAGACCTGGGGGGGGGGGGGGTGCAGAATTGATTTGTTCAGGATCCCTGGTTAATAAGCAACAGAGCCAGGATTCAAATCAGATTGGCCTGACTCCAGGGCCCCTAAGACATTTCAGTTTGACATGATGAACAGGTTTCACTCTCTATTTTGGAGATATGTTAGTTCACTTTGTTTTTTTTTTTAAGATTTTATTTATTTATTTTGAGAGAGAGAGAGAGTGCGAGAGAACACAAGCAGGGGGAGCAGCAGAGAGAGAGAGAGGGAGAAGCAGACTTCCTGCTGAACAGGGGCTCAATCCCAGGACCCTGGGATCATGACCTGAGTCGAAGGCAGACGTTCAACCCACTGAGCCTCCCAGGCTCGCCATGTTAGTTCATTTTAAAAATTAATTTCAATTTAAACAAATTAAATTCCCAGGTGTCTATACTTGAGGGTCCAATACATCATCCAATATATTCCTTTACTCAGATTATAAACCAGTGTGTTCTGGCTACTGTCTGTCTGCCCCTCCCCCTCCCCAGAGCCACTCTCCACAGTCCCCTTCCCTGTCCTACTACTACTCTTAGCAGTAGTAAACAATGAAATAAAAATCAACAGTTCTACAGGACGATACCCACGAAAGCTGTCTCTCAAGTCTACCGTTGACCACATTATTCCAGGGATATGCAAAAGCATTCACTGGAGCCCCAGCCACATCTGTGTTCTGCCTTTCCGATACTCTCAAGGCGCAAACACATCCACTCCCAACAAAGATGGACTTCTCAAGGGAGGCCTCCACCTCCAGGTCTGCACACTTATGGTCTGTCTCCCAAAAGGGCTCCATGGACTTCTCCCCAGATCTGGGGGAGCTTGGCTGGACAAAGGAGACAACAAACGTGAAAATTTCGGCAATACTTTTTACTACGGCCAACTTTCTTGATCTTAGAAAGTATGTAGAGTTTTTCTCTAAGCCTAAAGCAAGTTTTTTTTTGGATAATAGCTGCCAAAATTGCAAAAGGAATAAAGCACGGTCTTGAAATTGAATTGGGCAGCCGTTGAAGAGGACCCACAGTCTTGGTGTGCTGGTGAGAACAGAGGCTGGGAGAGCATGGGAGTCTGGCCAAATCTCTCGTGAAGCTTGCTCCTCTGACCCAGGAACCTTCAACTTCCCCAAGGCCATCTCCTCAGGAGAGTAGAAGTCACCTCAGGAAAACAACAGTCTGATCCCAAAGCCATTCAGCCTGACAGAGGCCCATCCTTGAGTCCTCCTGACAAAACAAAGGCTCCCCACTGCAAGACCCCACGCTCAGGAGCAGACTGTTCTTTCTCCATGTTTTGGTGTCCCCCAGGGCAGCTCACCCCACACAATTCCTCCTTCCCAGCACATACATGCTTCTGCTCACAGCAAGAGCTGAAGCTCGTCCCCTCCCAGCAAATCAGAAGAAGGAACGTTCTGGGAGTCCCAAGCCGAGGCCTTAAGAGATCCAGAGGATTCCTCTTCTTGCCACTGGGAACCCAGTTCCCATATCTCAAGCAGCATGGAAATGTGGCGAAGGCCCAAGGTAGGTGCGCAGCTGACAGCTAGCACTTCATGCCAGACCCACAAGGGAGCCATCCTGAACGTTCTAGAACGTCATCTCCCAGATGACCACAGCCCCTACTGGCATCAGGAAAGCCCAACTATCCAGCTAAGTCCAGGCAGCCCACAGAACTACGAGAAACAATAAATCAGTTGTTTTAAGCTATGAGGCTCAGGGATAGTTTATTACACAGCTGGATAACGTGAACACCCTGTAAGTATTCTAGATACCTAAAGAAGCTAGAGTACCTTATGGTTCACTGTCACACCATGGTATATTACACTATGGTTGCAGTTCCCCTCTCTTCCTTGTGTCTGTGCCTTTTGCCATGTGACTTTGTGGTTCTCTCACTAAAGATTGCAAACTTGCTTTCCCAGCGCTTGTTTTGGAGCTATCCACGGGAATTGCTTCAGGCAACAGGATGCAGCAGCAGGACAATGTGTTAGTTCCTAACAAAAGCCTCAAATGGCATGAATAGCTTCTGCCTGCAACCTGCCACCACCATGGGAACAGGCCATGGTAGCATGCTGGAGGATGAGAGGCATGTGGAACAAAGCCGACTCATCCAGTCTCCCCAGCCAAGACTATCATCTGATAGACAACCAAACCCCAGGCCTGGGAGGGAAACTTCAAGACAAAAACTGACCAGCCAAGGTCAACCCAAAAGGCCAACCCACAGGCTCAGGAGCTAAATAAATGCTTCTTGTTTTAAACCACTGAGATTTGGGGTGGTTGTAACACAGCCTTTTTCTAACAGTAAATTACTAATACACACAATTTGCCTTGAATAACTAGGTTATCAAGCTCCCCCTTAAAATTTTCCAGCTAGAGAGTTAAACAGAGACTAAAAGAGTAGCTTCAAAGGAAACAAAGTTGGTCCCAACACAATCATCCCATTTCCATCCAGCTAAGAGACATGACCTCAGGCAACGGTCCTCCCCACAAAATAAGTTTGGAAACTGAAGAGTAACCAAGACCCTGTTACCAGAAGGATCTGTGAGATTCTCAGAGCCCTTCCTGAGCAGCTGAATCCCCACTTCACAGGACGGGACACTGTCAGCCTTCTGGGGATTCCAAGTATGATGAAATGGAATCAACATTCTGGATGTCCAAGACCACAGAAATGTCACAGCTGTGACAGCAGCCATTCCATCTGTGACCAACCAAGAGATAAATTTAATAAATAATTGTTTGTGTCTCCATCTTTGATGGGGAAGCTTCGGGTACTTTCAATGCATCAAAGATGAAACAGCAAGGAAGGGAATATATAGATTCCAGATGCAACACTGCCCCACCCCTCAAGGGGAAATGGGAAAATAATTATACAGATATCAAGAGGTGCCATATGCGGGTCATGGACAACACCCAGAGAAGGGAGAGAGCTGATACATAAGGAGAGCCAAGGAGGTGCCACCAAGGAGCCTTGAAGAACAAGAGGCTTGTGGGCTGGTAGGAAGGCAGGGAACAGAAACCCCCCAAACCCCCCCACCTTAGGGAACCAAGGTATGTGACCCTAACCCACAACAACCAGCAGGACCACCACGATCAGAGGAATTTCTATACTCACACGAATGGTGCCCCTCCCTTGCAAACCAGATTAGCTAAAAAGCAAAGCACCTCAAGACCAAGAGGATGAAAGTTCTACCACTTAGCATGCCCCCTCCCCCCACAAATATCCTGGACTGTTTCTGCAGCCATTCAGGTGCCTATTCTTTTCTCTCCTTTGGGAGGAATGTTTTGGATTTTTTTAAGAGCACTTTTAATTTACGTTTGTGTTTCTAATGATCATTTTTCAAATATTTAGTTGTTGATGAATGACATTGGGTTTTATATCACGGTGAGAACACTGCCATTTCCTATTCTACCTGGCTTTGAACCCTTGCAGAACTTGAATCCATGTTGTCTAAAAGCCCTTTCTTTAATATGTGTTTCTTGTGATCAATTCATTCGGTACTCTGTATGTTTATGACTTTGTGTTTCAGGATCTGACATTATTTCATCATTGGGTATCTTAAGAAATAAAATGCACTGACATTCAGTAGAATTCTACTTGTCTCCCTTATTCATCCTTATTTAAAAAATACCAGTGTCTTACTAAACAGTAACAAATATTTGACTTGAGTTACTTGAGCTATAATCGCATCAAGTATGGACAGACACACAGTGCCAAAAGGAAAATAAGCACTTCATAATTAGGGAGGCAATGCTGCAAAATGGTTAAGAGAAGACAGGAATATTTGCAGGGTTGGGGCAAGAATTAGAAATGGAGGGGTCCTCCCCTTCCTTCTCTACCAAACCCCAGTTCTGTCCCTATGCCAGGGGTCCCCCACATAGCCATGTGGACCCAGCTGCCCTGTGGGCCACGCTTCCTGCCTAGGGAAATATACGGAATCTTCCAAACAAGATGGACTCCAGGAAAGAGGCCTGTGCAGGCCCCAAAGATGCTCAGGCCAGTTTGGGCTGGAGCTGCAGGTTCTCAGGCACCTCAGGTGTGCTGTGGAATGGGGGATGGGTCCTGGAGGGCATGGGGACAGGGCTCTCTGGTGGGGCAGCGCTGGATCTGAGTTGGCGGTGCAGGGTCTGGTTTTCCTCCTCAGAAACCTAGAAAAGGCTACTTCACCCTTGAGGAACTATAGTTACACCACCTGTAAAATGGGGATAATACAACTGTGGTATTAAAAAACAACAAAAAAAAGATATTTGGTCTCTGTCCCCAGTTCCTGGCACAGAGCTCTTAAAACCACTGGATTTTCCTAAGGGAGAAGAGCAATAGAAGCATCTCTTGTTCTTTTTTTTTTTTTTTAAAGACTTATTTATTTATTTATTTGAGAGAGAGAATGAGATAGAGAGAGTGCACATGAGAGGGAGGGGGGTCAGAGGGAGAAGCAGACTCCCCGCCGAGCA